AAATGTGTACTTCCTGTCGTCAAACGCTCCAAGCACATGCATACGAGAGGACCACAATCCCCTCTGGCTTCCTTCGTTTGTTGTGGCACGATCTCGTCTCTGATAACTGTAACATTAAACTTCTTTGGCTTCTTGTTTCCAGACTTAGTCCAATAATTAATTGCATCCAAGAATTTAGCCAAATGAGAGCTCCATCCCTTAATAATATCTCTCAAATCAGATAATGATATGTAATTTATCATGTTGTCATATACTATTATCTTTAGGGATGGGATCTGAAGCTCGACGAGAAGCCAATGAGTACGGTCCAAAACAGGGATAAACACTTGCATCGAAATGTAATAATTCAAATTGCGCACTTATTTATGAACACCTTTAAAAAATTTAAACAAATATACTAACCTTATCGACCTACCACCATGCAGGATAAAGTTTAGCTTGTCCATTAGCCAACACATATGATTCATGTCGTTGATTCTTCAAGTGAACTACGTGAAAAGACGTCGGCATAATTGTATATCGCGGTTTTTTTATATTTTTCTTCAATTTCCTTACAATTAGAAGACGTGTCACCCATGCATCAATATGTTATTTTACAAAAAAGACATATATTAGTGAATTACATAAATTTTAAAAAAAATTAATCAAACTGAAATATAAGAAGAAATATAAGACTTAACCCCATCGAAATAGCCGTTGTCTTCAACCCCTAATAATACACCCCACCAATACCGTTCAATCAACAAATGCATATCATCGTTGAGTTTGTATATGTCAGCGTAACACCCTTGGCTCCGCTCATGTAGATAAAAATCAACTGCGGTCTTAGCCCAAAGGGTATTATCCATAATTTTTTCCGATAGTTGTTTCCTCTCCACTTCATCTGCCGGAATGGTACTGGCCGGTAACTTATACGAAAGCCAACAGTCATCCATCATGTCCGGCACGTGAGGGGGCTTATATTACGCCGTGTGAATCGGGCTCTAGAATGTTGGGAAGGACCTCTTCAACGATGACAGTGGCCTCTTGAACGGTGGGAGGGGACTCTTGAGGGATGATAGGGGCCTCTTGAACGATAGGGGAGGCCTCTTGAATGATGACAGGTGAGTCGGGCTGTTTCTTACGGATTCTTCGCACTATTGGGGTGAACGGAGACGTAATGGCACGTGCACGCCGTCTGATGCATAAACTCCGTCTTGCAAGAAAAACCCGACGTAGAGCATCCACCTTAGCGGGCTGCTAAAAATAAATTAATACATAAATCAGTAAATAAACAGACATGATATTAAACAGTGAAAACAAAGACAAATATATTTCAAACTTGCACGGTATTCACCCAAGTCATTATTATATCATTGTTCACAAAATGCATCAGATAACATTCCAGAAGTAATCACTTATATAAACATTTAAAAGGACAACATATAGGTTTAGTACAGGTTCAATGACAACATAAAGAGTAGTAGTTTATTCTTGAAATTTAAATTTTCAACACTGTGAAGTTAGTATTTGTCTTTTGGTTGAAGTAATGCAATTCATTCAAGTTTCAATTTGCAGAAGAAGAATAGAATCTGAAACTTAAAATCACAACGCAAAAATGACTATCGCAACGCGAAAATGACTATCGCAACGAGAGAATCGCAATACGAAATGAAAATCGTAACAACAAAATCGCAACGCGAAAATGACTATCGCAATGCGAATTTGACTGTCGCAACGAGAGAATCACAATGCGATTTTCATTTCGCATTGCGATTCTTTCGTTGCGATAGTCAAATTAGCATTGCGATAGTCATTTTCGCATTGCGATTCTCTCGTTGCGATAGTCATTTTCGCGTTGCGATAGTCATTTTCGCATTGCAATAGTAAACTATTCTTCTTCTGCAAATTGAAACTTGAATGGATTGCATTACTTCAACCAAAAGACAACCAAAAACAAATACTAACTTCACAGGGTTAAAGAATAAACAGTTAAATAGTATTGCCAGCAACCGAATGAATTTACTAAGCAATCTAAGTGAAATTACGAGTAAATTTATCATCAAGTTAAATATGAAAAATATTAAACTTACCTCGTTGCGTAGAGTATGAACCTTGTTCTGCAACGATGCTACAATCTCACGTAGAGCTGCTACCTCACCACGTAAAGTAGACACCTCAACACGCCATGTACCATCGTCATCGCGTAAAGTACCGACCTCCTCACGCAAGGCATTGACCTCATTACGTAACTCCCCTAACTCATCCCGTGGAGGTGGAGGTGGAGAACAGGGAGATAAACGTCGTGGCATCTTTGCTGATCGCCTATCATGAGGTGATGGTGGAGAAGAGGCTCGATGATGTGACATAATATGTGATGACTCTCTTTGTGGAGGTGTATATTCGGGTCGATCAGGTGATGGCTCTGGGTGAGTGATGGCTCTCGAAGTGGTGGCTGCTCATCATCCGTGCCATAAAAAAAAGCTTACTAGCTTGCCACCAATCAGTGGCAAGCTCAGCTTTCGTGGGTGTCAGCCTCTGTAATGGAGTGTTGGCCTCCTAACAATATAAAAGCTCAAACAAAGTTAAACGTGTACCAGTAATAACTTGTTTATAAACATATAGTAGTATTTGTGTTAACTTACATTATTTATTGTAGTATACGGTAGTAAATCTTCCTATTGCTGCAAGGACCGTTTCCTCTTCCAGGAAATAGCCCTAGGAATATCATTAGAAGTTTTTAATGCATATGTCTGCATGGCGGGAAAGGCCTCAAATATCCAAATCTACAAACAATATAATAACAAACATTAGTAATTGTTACAGAATTAATTATAATTTTGGAAACATTATATAAAAATTATTACCTTAAAGGCCCAAATAAAGCCTGACAAAGTGTATTTGGAACCATCGCCACACAAACTTTTCCGATCATTAAAGGCAGACGACAACTTATTCCATGTAGCTCTCCATAGATACGAACCCCACGGAAACAGGTTCCATGCATTTAGGTACTCTACCAATTTAATTAGATCATTAGGAATAGGTTGTCGGGCCTCTCTGCCTAAAAAGCCGGCTTGCAAAAGTATTAGAAGGCATACTCGGACAACATCGACGTCATCCATCCGAGTAAAACCATCTTTCTTATTCAATAATCACGTCAAGTCTTCCACGTGTAAATTCGACTTCTCCGTTGACAGCTTAGGAAAAACCCGGGAAAACCATGATAGGCGGGTAATATGTCTAGTGTACCGATCTACATCATCGTGTCCGAAGCGTAGACCGGTGATTAAGCAAAACTCCTCCTGCCCAAAACATGTATACGCCGGTGGAAAATCAAACCATATCACTTCATCACGACGTTGTATAGTCTCTGGTAGATCGCTAGTCATGGTTTGAAGAAACAGATGGGTCAACAGAGCATCTCCACTCGGATGTTGTACTTTCAGCCATGGCCCGAAGCAAGTATCCTCAAATATTTTTCTTTGTGCATGTGAAAGCTTCGACGTAATTGTTTTTGCCAGGCTTACTTTATTTCTTAAGGTCAATTGAGCCGAATAAAAGTTCTGTAAAAACAATAAACATACCAATTTAGATATACAAAAAACTACACTGTGAAGATATGAACAATAAACATAAAGAGTAGTAGTTTATTCTTCAAACTTAAATTTGCAACACTGTGAATTTAGTATTTGTTTTTTGGTTGAAGTAATGCAATTCATTCAAGTTTCAATTTGTAGAAGAAGAATAGTTTCTGAAACTTTAAATCGCAACACGAAAATGAAAATCGCAACACGAAAATGACTATCGCAACGCGAATTTGACTATCGCAACACGAAATGAAAATCACAACGACAGAATCGCATTGTGATAGTCATTCTCGGTTTCAAATACTAAAATTGAAAGAAACTTGAATGGATTGCATTACTTCAACCAAAGACAAAACAAAGACAAATACTAACTTCACAAGGTTAAAGACTAAACAGTTTAGCAGTATTGGCAGCAATCAAATGAATATAATAAGCAATCTAAGTGAAATGGTTAATCTATTATTGAAAATACCAGTAAACTTATCATCAATTTCAATATGAAAAAACCTAATAATAATGTAAAAATTTCAAAATAAAAATAATTTAAAAAACTAACCCTCGGTGGTTGATTTGGTTGATTTTTCATTTCTGACCATGAATGATTTCGCCGGAGATGGAGACTGATATCGTCGTGGGGACTGATTTCGTCGGAGATGGGGACGGATGTCGCCTTAGAGAGTGAGAGATGGAGATGAAACTGAGTTGTGATTTAGGGTTTTAGGTTATGAGTTACGATTACGGGATATACTGTGAACGGTTCAGTGTTCTGATATATTAATATATTCTTGTTTGGAATTTTAAAAAAAAATACGCGTTAATACGAATGGCGCTATGTAAATCGCATTGCGATTTACCTATTCGCATTGCGATTTACGTATTGCATTGCGATTTACGTAATCGCATTGCGATTTTCCAAATTCGCGTTGCGATTTACGTATTCGCATTGCGAATTAGGAAAATCGCAACGCGAATTTGGGAAATCGCAATGCGATAGTCAGAATCGCGTTGCGAATCTGGAAACTGATTTGCGATACCGGAGATCGCGTTGCGAATTATCGATCGCATTGCGATTTAGTTGGTTATTTTGGCAAATCTAAAAAAAGTTGGTTAAAATCGTATATTATAAGGCATTTTTTGTCACTGAGATTATTTTCTCTAAATTAAAATAAAGAAAATAATTTATCAAATTTCAAAAGATTTTACATTTAAACTTAAAAAAATGGGATATGATATCTAATCAAAATCAAAGCAATTAATAAGCCTTTTGCCTTTCGGGACCTACCTTGGATGTAAGTTCCGTTATTGGGTCCACCATAACTAAACGGCCTAAAACTCCCCAAAACAGCAATGGCACAAATGTAATTTCCTCAATTACGAATTCAAAAGTAATTTCACGCCTTGCCACCTCAATCACCCCCTTTCCTCCCCACGGTTTGAGCTTTAAAGGTCGCCGTAAAAAAAAGAAAAGATTGTTCCTTCTTCGAATTTAAAACCCTAGAATTTGGGGATTTGCTGCTATTGGACTTTCTTTGTTGAAATCGAAATGGTAGGAAATTCGCTGGCTGGATTGCAAGATCACTTGAAATTGGCCCGAGAATACGCTCTCGAAGGCCTCTACGACACTTCCATTATCTTCTTTGATGGCGCCATTTCTCAGATCAACAAGTAAATTTTCTTCCTCTTTTTAGTTTCCACTCCTTTTCCTTAATTTTAGTCGCTCACATTTTCCCCTATTTTTGTTCCCGTTAAAATTCCGGTTTTTTATACAGTTCTGATTCACAGTTTAGTAAGGGGCTGTTTGGTGTAATCATTTAGCGCAGCATTCAGCGTTGAATGCTGAAACGTTCAGTATTCAGTGTATTTGATTCTCACCTCTGAATCTAAATGAAGACTGTGCTATTCAACAAAACACTGAAGCATAAAAGTACACTGCTGAATGATTCAGTATTAAAATACACTGTTAAATGATTCAGAATCATTTAGCATTAAAGTACATTTTGAATGATTTAAAACTATTATCAAACAGCATGTCACCTTCAGAGAGATAATTCATATAGAATTTTTTGAATCATTCAGACTATTGAATCATTTAACGTTTAATCATTTTGATTTAATCAAACAGCCCCTTAGTCACTTTAGTGGTTCAATTAGATTTAAAAAGAAATCAAGTGTTAAGGGTAAAATGCAAAACAAAAAATAAAACAGCTGGTGTTTTTTTCTTTTCAGATTGCCAGTTTTCAGGAAACGATTTGTAGTTTGTAGATATGAATTATAAATATTCTGTTTTATTGGATCATAAATTACTTATTGGTTTCAATTTTTTTCTTGTAAAAAATGCATTATTTAACTATTGTTTGAGCAAATTTGCCTAATTTTTTGTTATGCATTTAGGCATCTAACCAGTCTTGATGACCCACTAATTCGTGCAAAATGGATGAATGTAAAGAAAGCACTATCAGAGGAGACAGAAGTTGTGAAGCGATTGGATGCTGAGAGAAGGTCGTTTAAGGAAGCTCCCAATGGGCGGCGTCCTTCTTCACCACCGATTCATGCTAAGTCATCTTTTGTATTCCAACCATTAGATGAGTACCCGACTTCATCAGGTGCCCCAATGGATGATCCTGATGTGTGGAGGCCTCCAAGTCGGGACACTTCAAGTAGAAGACCTGCAAGGGCTGGTCAAGTGGGCACGAGGAAATCGCCCCAAGATGGGGCTTTGGGTCGTGGCAATACTAGAATTGGTACGACTGGACGTGGTGCTAAGGCAGGTGGTTCAAGTAGGACTAATGCAGGGACCAGAGCATCTACCACTGGAAAGAAGGGTACTGGCTCAGGGAAATCTACCAAAGGAGATTTAGTGGTAAGTTCTGGTTGACAGAACATCTTTCCTGTTAATTTTAACTTTATTTATTTATTATTGAAGTTTGAGATTTCAATACAAAGCTTAACATGTTTGGGTTCAAAACACGGATGCATGTGGCAAGCTTGCTGTTAATATCTGAAACGGGGCTTTAATACAAGTATACAACCCTAAATAATTATAGGGATATGAACAGTTTTTGTATTTCGAGGTTAAAGTACTTTAGTTCGATGTTCTCAATATTTTGGTGATTGATTTGCTTTTGCGATTGCTTAGAATGGTGATACTGAAGATGGGAAGTCTAAAAGGTCACAGTATGAGGGACCTGATCCAGATCTGGCAGCAATGTTAGAAAGGGATGTTTTAGAAACAACTCCTGGAGTACGGTGGGATGATGTTGCTGGTTTGACTGAGGCAAAAAGGCTTTTAGAGGAAGCAGTTGTTCTTCCTTTATGGATGCCTGAATATTTTCAGGTACTTGCAGCGTTGCAGCTGAATTGCCATCAAAGCATTATTGCCAGATTGATTCTTGTTTCTGTCACATACTATGATTTAAATACTAAATCTGTTATTTCTTTTCCTTTATTTTAGTTTTCTGCTTACATTTTTATGATTACTGAAAATCATTTAGATCGAATTAGTTTTATTTTGAAATTTAAACTTTTCTGCATATTTTTTTCTCCCTTTCTAAATGTGTTTACTCTGACATTCATTGTCAGAATGGTTGAGTTATTTTCTTCTTGTTTTTGTCTTTAGGGTATTAGGAGACCATGGAAAGGAGTTCTTATGTTTGGACCTCCTGGTACTGGGAAAACTCTTCTGGCTAAAGCCGTTGCCACTGAATGTGGTACAACCTTTTTCAATGTTTCTTCTGCTACATTAGCCTCAAAGTGGCGTGGGGAGAGTGAGCGCATGGTCCGGTGCTTGTTTGATCTAGCAAGAGCTTATGCTCCTAGTACAATTTTTATTGATGAGATTGACTCTCTTTGCAATGCCCGTGGGTAAGTTTGCCGCTTGATTCTGTACAATTTGTCTGTTATCCGGGATCTATCTTTGCAGTTAGCTTTCATTTATTCTTGATGTACAGAGATTAAGTATTTTTTTTTTTGTTTATTTTCTTGCATGACGGGGGGCAGTATTTAATGTTTAACGCATAATTTTTCAAAGATAGATATGCACTCTTTTTCTTCTTCATTTGAGCATTTATTGGTGCATTGAACTCTCTCTCTCTTCCTCTTTGGCATGTCTTTTACATACTCTTTTCTTCGAATGCAATCTTTTTATTTTATTTTGGTTTAGGGCTTCTGGGGAGCATGAGTCGTCTAGAAGGGTGAAATCTGAACTGCTTGTTCAAGTAGATGGTGTAAATAATACAGGCACAAATGAAGATGGTAGCCGTAAAATAGTGATGGTTTTGGCTGCAACTAATTTCCCGTGGGACATAGATGAGGCACTCAGGTTTGTCCTGTTTATTTTGTATGTGTTTTAGTTTTGAATTTTTTTCTCCTCCCGTTTTCATTTGTCTGGGTATCTGATTTGCACCAAGTCTAGTGCGTGAGAGATCTTATTGTTGAAGTTATTAGTTTACATTTGTTGTATCTAATTATTCTTCATGGAACGTAGGAGGCGACTGGAAAAACGTATATATATTCCCCTGCCCAACTTCGAGAGTCGTAAGGAGCTCATTTGGATCAATTTAAAAACAGTTGAGGTAAATACTCTCACTAATCTATGGTTAAATTTGGTGATTCCTATGGCTTTGTGTTATGGTTATCTTCTTTGTGTCACCCTTTTTTCCATGCCACATTTGATTTGTTTCAATTATACCTAGTTTTTCGTAAAGTTATTTAGTGAAATGTTGCTATGGTAGTAGAGCATAATTGTGATGCTGTAACTGAAATGTTTCTTTTGGAAGCCAAGTAAAAGTATATATATGAAACATCTAAAAACTAGATGATTCGAAATGTTTATAAAATATTATGATAGGTAGGTCGTATCTCACGTAAAACTAATTTCTTCATTATCTGTCCGATGAGAACAAGAAATTTGGCAGCCAAGTGGTTTCTTCTTTTCAGTGACACTGGTGGATATTTGGAGAGTTATATCCCCTTACACATGGGCGGATTTGTGTTAGACATCGTTTTAGGGTGTGGGTGCTACAAGAAAAATAAAGAACTAGAGCAACATAGCTCCGTACCTTATTTAAAAAACCAATTCTTTTCGATGTTCCGTTTTCCTATTAAAATTTTACGGTTAACCTTTTTTTCAAGTGAAGGGATTTAATGATTGGATCGATACTCACCGATGGGAGAAATCTTCTAAATTTACTCCAGTTTCCTTGCAAATTAACCCCGAAAAACATAGGCCAATGGCTACTATGCCTGTTATGGTAATCGAGTTTTAGTTTGACATTTGTTGTGCTCTGAGCATCAAGGCTCTTAGCCTGAAATGGTTACCTTGTCCGTGTGGTAATGTGGCAGGTAGCTGCTGATATGGATATCGATGAAGTGGCTCGTCGGACAGAAGGGTATAGTGGGGATGATCTGACCAATGTTTGCCGTGATGCTTCCTTAAATGGCATGAGGCGTAAAATAGCCGGAAAAACGCGTGACGAGATTAAGAACATGTCGAAAGATGAGATTTCAAAGGATCCCGTAGCAATGTGCGACTTTGAAGAAGCCTTGTCGAAGGTCCAGCGAAGTGTTTCACATGCCGATATCGAGAAGCATGAAAAATGGTTTACCGAATTTGGATCGGCATAATGAAAAGACTAACACCTGCGTGTGGATGGTAATGTTGTTTGCTTTCCTGATATGTTTGTACTGAAAGGGTGTTTCATTGTAATTTCTTAAAGTTCGTACATTGTTGTTATTTGTACCTGTAACCTCATCGTTTTTTACACTACTTTATCAGTAAAATGTTGATCTCGTCAAAATCTGCGTATGGCCTCTGAATTACTCGTGTTCTCTAATTTTTATGCAACAGGGCCCTAATCATGAAAAGTTTAATCCTACCATTTATAAACTATTCAATTTAATCTTAATTTTAATTTTTTTAAAAACCAAAATTTCAGAAGAAAAAAACTTAAAAATCCAAAAACTATTTCGTTTTATTTTTATGAACACGTGTTACTCAAAATTTGCATTCAATTAAATAAAAACCGTTACCAAAACATAGATTAAAAATTAAGAAAAGAGGAAGGGAGCATAATATATAAGCAAAGAAGAACCCATAAAGCACGTTCTTTTATTTCTCATTTTCTATGTTCTTGTTCTTCACCGTCTAAACAAAAACCCATATTATAATGGTTGATTATCACGGCGTCTCCGGCGATCATTGACTTCACCATTCTCTTCATCGTAACAGTGGCCGAAACACCAAGCATACTGATCTTTATCCAAATTCATAGCTTTTGGCCCTTCCACTGTTGGCATCTCTAAATCGTCTTTCACCATCACCGCTTAAACCCAACTTATTCTTCTCCATTATCTGAACTGAATCAGAATGGTTAATTTGTGAAACTTGGTTTAGGTATTCGAACAGGGAAAAGGGTTTCGGTTTTGGGTATTTCATCAATCGGCTTTGTTAAAACATAATGACATGTATTAAAAGATTAAAACGTAAATATAATACAACTGCAAGGATAGCTCAGTTGTGAGAGCATCAGACTGAAGATCCAAAGGTTATGTGTTCTCGATCCATGTTTATCGCATAAAATTTTCATTTTTATTTTGCTTGTTTTTGGACCTCTTTACGATTACGTAATCCACCTGGTACACTCATTAATCCAATACGCAATCTTCTACACACTCCATATTTAGTAAATCCACTACATTCTTTCATACTACCATGCACGTATACGTATTTTTATTTATTTCATGTAAAAATATTTAAATATATCTTATTATTTTAAATTATTTCTTAGAAATAAGAAAATATTTTTTTTTTATTTTTAAAGCTAAAAATTCAGTAACTAATGTTTGATAAATATTGAATACTTACATTTTTTATGAATTATATTTTCATTAATAAAAAATTTAAACTATAATTTTTATATTTAAATTAGAAAAGGAATGAATAAATAAATAAATTTTGATGAATTATTGAATTATAGTTTATATTAAATATTTAATTACCATTACAAAATAAATCTTTAAGTTAATCTAAATTATATAAATTTATAGATAAGTAATATTTTAGTATTTTAAATTATTTCTTACTTTTAAAAAAAAATTTGTTGAAAACATTTTTGATGTTTCGATATAACAAATTAAGTATAAATAAATTTTAAGATTTTACAAATCATTTTCTAAGTATATTCAAATCAATTTACTCGAATTTCAAGATATTACTTCAAGTCTTTAAAAGATCAATTTCAAATCCTTACTACAATATAAAATTGTGTTTTAATCTTAAAATATTTTTGAAACAATTTTCACAAAGTATTTCGAACCAAAAACGAGCCAAATATCAATTTTTCAGAGTAGTGTACCGATGCACTATATAATGCATCGATGCACCCTTGAATAAATTGAATTTCGAATGCATTTTGTGTACCGATGAACAAGGCATGCATCGATGCACTCCTAAATAATTTGAACATCGAATGCATTTTATGCATCGATGCACTCCAGGCTTATTTGAAACATCGAATGTATTTTATGCATCGATGCACCCCTAGTGTACCGATGCACTAAGTCTTCCAATGGTCGAAATATTTGAATTTTACACATAGTGTACCGATGCACATTGCCTATGCATCGATGCACCATACGCTCCCAACTGTTTTATTAATTGTTTTCACACAATAACGGCTCTATTGACTCTACTAATGATCCTCAACGTTCAGAAGTGATCCAATGTGTATTTAAACAAGCTTAAGAGCCATTGATCAACAACAATTATCAAGAATCAAGAGAGAATCAAAGAGAAAGCATCAAACCTCAAGTTTGAGCATTTTCAAGTCTATTTCATTCAATATTTATTTTTGCTTTCAAGAACACTTATTGTGCTCAATTGCATTATTCTTGAGTGTTCTTTCTTTGTTCTAGAATTGTAAAAACATCTTTCCTTATGAGGATTTTCTTGTAAGTTTGCAAAATTTGTATTGTTCTCTTTGGGAGAGAGTGTTATCAAGAATTTGGGGTATAATAATTGAGGGATTTATAAGGTTACTCTTTGTTCTCAAAAGAAAGACAAATTAGTGAATTTGTGAAAAATCCTTAGTGTGGATAGCTAAGGTAGTGGACATAGACTTTGGTTGAGAAAGTCGAACCACTCTAAATCGCTGTGCAAATATTTTCAATTTTTTGCAAAAGCTTCCACCGAAATTTTTATTGCCAATTCACCCCTTCTTGGCCTATTCCGTCGATCGATTAACTCAACAATTGGTACCAGAGCCTCACTCATTTAAAGGTTTAATCGCCCCTTGAGTCGATTCGGGAAGAGTTACATCGATAATCAAGTCATCAATTGCCTCTACTTCAAACCACGACTTTGGTCTTGATTCATTTCCCGTCAACAAGCCTCCTTTTTTTAATGGAGCTAATTATGCTTATTGGAAGAATAGAATGATGTATTTCATTCAAGCAAGTGACATGGGAGCATGGAATATCATAGAAGATGGATATATCAAACCTTCCACTCATCCAAGATTGTGGAGACTCCAAAGCTATCCATATTATCTTTTGTGCTCTTGGACTGGATGAATATGGGAGAGTATCATCTTGTACAACCGCCAAGGAAATATGAGATAAACTACAAGTCACTCATGAAGGCACAAACGAGGTAAAATAATCCAAAATTAGTCTTCTAACTCATAGCTATGAAAATTTTAGGATGAAACCAAATGAAGATATCAAAGCTATGACGGATAGATTTTCAACGATTGTCAATGGTCTCAAATCATTTGGAGAGATCGTTTCAAATGAGAAGCTTGTGAGGAAGTTAGTTTACTCTCTTCCAAAATCTTGGCAATCAAAGAAGACGATGATCATCGAGGCTAAGAATTTAAAATCCTTAACTCTCGATGAGCTAATTGGTTATCTCCTCACTCATGAAATGATGCTTCAAGATGAGGTAGACCTCAAAAAGACAGACGATATAAAGAAAGAGACGAAAAAGAATAAGAACGTGGGAGTTGCTCTCAAATCCACAAAAGATGAGAGTGATTCGGATGAAGATGGCGAGGAGATGACATTATTTGCCAAACTATTCAGAAAATTGATGAGGCCCAACCGAGGAAGAAAATTCAAACGCAATGAAGGCTTCAAAAATGAACTAAAGAAGAAAGACCCTATCATTTGCCATGAGTGCAAAAAACCGGGGCATGCCAAATATGATTGCCCTCTATTGAAGAAAAAGAGTCAATCAAAGAAGAAGCACAAGGCTCATGTGGCTACATGGAGCGATAAAGAAGGTTCCGATGAAGAGGAACAAGAAGTGGCAAACTTGCGCTTGATGGCCATCGGGGAAAACTCTCAGGTAACCTCTAACTCATTTGATTTAGATGATTTATCTTATGATGAGTTATTAGAGGATTATAATGGGTTGGCTTCGGATTATAAGACTTTATTTTCAAAATATAAAAACGATATTTCAAAATTGAAAAATAAAAATAGTCTTATGTCCAAAACCAACAATGATCTTGAAAGTAAGATCAAAGAATTGAAAATTAAATTAGATGAATTTGAGAAGAAAAATACCAATTTGCATAACTTACTTTCAAGAGTAAATGACGATCATCAAAATAAAATTAATGATCTTAAAGCTTCTTTTGATAAAATTGGAGCAAAACGTTTTGAAAATGGAGAAAGTTCAAAATCCAACTTTATTAGAAAAAGTTTTAAAAACTACAATCATAGAAGTCTCCAAAGAACCTCAAATGGAAAAATCATTAAAAGCATATGGGTTCCTAAAGGACTCATTACTACTAAAGATAAGGATATCCTACATAAATGGATACCCAATGGGACTAGGATTTTGAATACTAATGAATATGGACCCAAAAGAATTTGGGTACCAAAAATAAAAAATTAATCTATGTTTGTAGGAAAAGAAGCATTGCTACAAGGAACGAGAAACAAATTCAAACTCATGGTACCTTGATAGTGGATGCTCAAGACACATGACCGGAGACAAGAGCCGGTTCATAGAGGTTAACGCTAAAAATGGAGGAGATGTGACTTTTAGAGATAATTCAAAAGGTCACATTAAAGGTATAAGCACTATAGGCAATACCTCTTCTATACAAATTAAGAATGTTTTATATGTGAATGGATTAAAGCATAATCTATTGAGTATTAGTCAATTATGCGATAAGGGATTCAATGTCATGTTTGAAACTAATGGTTGTAAAGTCATTGACATTGCATCTAATCAGATTATGCTTGTTGGTCATAGAATATGAAACATATACATGGTGCATTTAGATTCTATAGATATGACTAATTTATGCCTAGTTGCTAAGGATGAGCATGATAGTTAGTTATGGCATAGGAGACTAGGACATGCTAGTATGAGTTTTTTGCAACGGTTAATTCAAGGAGATTTAGTTCGAGGGTTGCCTAAACTAAAATTTGATAATGATAAAATATGTGATGATTGTGCTAAAGGAAAACAAAAGCTTATTTTAAATCCATTAATGGCGTATCCACTAGTAGAGTATTACAATTGATCCATATAGATCTTTTTGGGCCATATAGGACTACTAGCTTGGGTGGAAAACAATATGCATTTATCTTGGTAGATGACTATTCTAGATATACTTGGGTTCTATTTTTAAGTACTAAAGATGAAGCATTAGAAAAATTCATCACGTTTTCAAAAATAATCCAAAACGAAAAAGGTTACTCTATAACTAGTGTTAGGAGTGATCATGGAACT